ACACACACACACACACACACACACACAGACAACCCCTCGTCAATATGCGTTTTCTGCATTGCATAGATACAAAAAACGCATATGGTAACGACGCATGGTGTATATCTGTGTGTGTTTGTGTGTTTGTGCGTACGGTATGGGTGTTTCAACTCGGCATCCAAGCAAGTTTCGGCGCTGAAATCTTGCTGACAGGCTCTCTGGCCATGCGCCACCTCAGGGACGCAGTATCAACATTCACGCACATCTAACAACCGGTACCAGCGTGGGGACGTTAAGAGTTTAGGCGGGAAAATTGCTGGTTCGGAAACCAGAAAAGCTGGAAAGCTGAAATTTTAAGGGGATATTTCCTGTCTATGCAAAGTTAAAAATTTTAAATTCAGCCCCAGCTATGCGTGGTTCACACGTACGGGCATGTGGAAGTTTTGGCGGAAAAAGTTGCTAACTCGGGAACCAACTGAAATTTTGAGGAAATATTCCCTGTCCAAGTAAAACTTAAAGATTTCGAATTGCTTGATTCTCAGTATGCTTGATTCTCATGTACGGGCGAACAGGAGTTCGACGGGAGAATTACTCACTGAACAGTATTTTCAATAAACAGCCGTTCAACGGAAATTGTTTGTTTCCCATTATGTAAAATTTACGATGATTTAAGCTAATAAGTACAAAAGCTAAATTTAAAGCAGCAACCATTCATATAGTAAGCAACCTAATTGCTTCAAATTAACTTCAAAAACGCATGGTAGCACCGGCCAGCCTGGGATTGAATAATGCAAAAAGTCGTTATTTCACTAATCAAATCTGTTTCGGCTGCAGTTCTGGAAATAATTCGCTGTTGCAATTATATACTTTTCAATTACTCGGTTGGTTTGCGTTTTTGCTGCATTAACCTGTATTTTACTAATAGGAGCATATTCGGTGTTATATCATTATTCGATCCAGAATCTGGGAAAAAAGGTGGCTATTATTTGTTAAAAATACTCTTACTTATTCTTCTATTTGTTTTTCCATTGGATAATGCTGATCAATTTTTATCGCGTGAGCGAAAAGATAAGGTTAGCATTCATGTTCCTTGCTCTAAGCAAACAACCAAGAATTCTTCATTTAACACTAGGCAAATATTCTGTCATGCTTTTTGTGAGACAAGAAGTTCATCAAATTGCAGAAAAAAGAAAAATCAATATTTACAATTTTTTCGCGAGAAAAAGCACATTAATGATTTCCCCCAGTCAGTTGATTTAAAAAACAAATGTTATAGAAAGATCAAGACGCAACAGCGAAAGAACGCGATGATATCTCGGCTAAAAAAACGCTGGAAAAGAATTCTCAGGCTGCGATCGCTCCTCCAGCAATTGATGCTTCGAAGAAGACTCCGGTCGTCTCGAATGCTCCTACACTGGTGGAAAAATCTGAATCCAATCTAGTTATGGATGCTTCTGAAAAGCAGTCTCAAAGCACATCACTGGTAAATGCTTCTATAGAAGAAATTTGGGCCTGGCAACTGTTTTTAAACGCTCTTGACCGTTCCAACAGTAATAGCTCCTTAGATTTGCCCAGTGGTATTGAGTGCTACAAAGGAGCCTCCTACAATGACTTCGCCAATAGTGAAACCTAGTCACAAATGTTCCAAATACTCATGCAGAAGAGCCTCGAATGTCCCCCGTAATGAATAAACCTGCTGTGCCAGTGGGGGTAACTTCCCTCGGGAAATATTAGAAAGTTCCACTAGCGACAGCTTTTTCAAAAAAACTTAAAATAATGTCGCAGAAGGTGGATTCTCCGAATCCACAAGTCCTTCCGAAACAAATGACTTCTGAGTTAGAACGTCAGGTTGCTTCACTGGCAACAACTTCAAAAAATGACGTTCCCATGGCAGCTGCTCATATTAAACAATTTCGCACCGTTTCCGGTCCTGCTACTTGTGTGAAG